CCTTACCCGCGGGTAACACGTACGGCCTCTTGAAAGTTTTTCACGGGTAAGTTAATATCTCGGGAACTACGGAGTCTAGGAGGCTGAAATTTTATGGGAATGACCCTTGCCCCCGCCCAACCTTGCCCATTCAAATTCAGCGTTCTCGCGCTCTCGGGTGCTACCTAACGGCCCCGTGAGATTTTTGGCGGGTAAACTATTAACTCGGAAATCACGGAAAGATATTCATCCTTCAAGGTTTCGAATTCAGCTTTCATGCGCTGGTTCGTGAAATTTTTAACTGTTTTCGAATGTTTGAATTATTTTTGCATAGACTAAAGTACAAAGCAGTGAAAATCATTAATAGGCAATCGTTCGATGGGCTGATTTGCACAAAACGCATGATTGCACCGGCTAGCCTGGTGCGCGTTGCTATTTGTTTGGAGTTATGACACTGGAATTTATTTTTGATTTCTACGTTATAGGTCAGGGCTGGGTGAACAGAATCTGAACTTTAGATCGTTTCCGTATCATCGGGTACTGCATCAGAAATTCCAGCCGCATAGCTTATGCAGTTCCTGTATTAAATTATCCGACGGCACACTAGACAGAATCGTTCTATACCCAAATTTAAAATACAGCAAAGTAGATGCGTTTAATTTGCTGGGATCAAAGCAACCGGAAGTCCGCTTGGTGCATAGTTGAAGAATCACTTCACGAGTTCCAACTCACCCAAGTATCCAAGAGAGTCACTGGTCAGGATAAGCATTCCCAAGTATAAATAGCACATTTATGCTTCACTTTTGTTCAGCGATTCCATTACTGCTGAATATCCTTTTTATCGTTGCTGAATTCAGGACATTGGGTCTGAAGCATTCGACTGAAATCCGGCCACTGCAGTGAAATTTACTGGAAATATACTGTAATCTGTCAACAGCAATTTTCGACCTCCCTATCTACAAGTTTGCCATGATTATACCTATAGTTTCTCGTATTGCTTTTGTTTTAGATGCATTAATTTTGATTGTAAATTTTTTACATTTCTTTACCAACTCCAGTAATGGAACAACAAGTGTTTTTTTTTGTCATCGTTTTATCAGTTATACTAATAATAATTCCTAATTTTTCTGTTTTTTCAATTTGTTGTACGTGGAGGAATACGACGAGCAGAATCTTTGATGATTTTAGGGTGGTTTCCGTATTTTTCCTTCATTGTCAAGAACCATTCTTTCATTTTCTGCAGTGTTTTTTCACAATTCTTCATAGATGGTGGTGTAAAGGCGCGAATGCGTTGCCCATGTAGGCCAATATACCCCAAGGTTTTTTGGGTTACGAGCAGGATCGATCATCACCCAGAATGGGAGTCGTAAAGGCGAACTTGTCGCCTTGCCTTCCTACCCCTTACCCCAAATGATAAAACGCGAAAATAAAGTAAAATGCTGAATCATCTTTCGATGACATTCCGTCGGGAATCGGCGTTCCCACCGGAGATCGGATCTCCGACAGGAGACTGTGGTTGCAGAGTTTAAGCGACTGAACCGGGAGCAGCTCATGCTAATGAAAGGTTCTGCTACACTGCATGTCCAGTAACTGTGTCTGAAATGTGGCCGTGCTTCAGCGTATTTCGGAGGGTCCTTACTTTGCGATTTGAGAAGTTGTTGTTTGCCCTTCGTAGGAATGGCTTCATAAATTTTGTTATGCGAAGTTTGCGCTTTTTCGTTTAAAACTAATTTTGGATGTTTAGAATGCATTTTGCAAGTCTTTTTCATGCATTACATAGTAGTATTTGCATTCCACATGTCCTGTATTTGCAAACGTTGCTAATATGTACAGTATGTGTGTAAAGGCAAATCACAGATGCGCAAGGTCTGGTTGATTCTCAACTGCATCGGAGTAGCAAGAGATTTGTCGCGAGGGGAGCATTTTGCCGCAAAGCAAGCGGACTATGAGGAAATCACACTTCTCATTTTCGATGTTTTCAGATGCATCGAACCATTACATGATTTGTCCCTTCTCATTTAGCATTTGGAGCATACGTATGTCCCCAAGATACGCTGTAATAGATAAGCTATATTGTGCCTTACTGTTGCCAAAAGCATTGCACACTTCCCATTTTTGCTGATTTTTTGCATGTAATCATCACAGGATTGCAAGTTTTTGTCGTTTTGATACCAGGGCAAAAATGTGGTTATGTTGTTTGTATTGTTCTTCCTGTTTGTGCACTGTGTCTGTTATCAAACTGATGTTAAAAGCATTGAATTCTACGCGTGCAGACGCATTTTCTATTTTTCCGTGAATTTTTTAAAAGTGCTAGTGCAGAAAAAATTTGGAAAGTTAGTGGTGGAGATGTTTGATTTTTTCAAGCTTCTTAAGCTAATTTGAACAGATCGGGACTGGCAATCCTGACGATACGATAGCCTAGACTGTTAAGACTGGCTCCTATCAATGTTTTAATCAACACATTGAATATAGCACAGATTTTTGGGTCATACAGAAATAACGGTCCAGTACTGGTTATTCTTTTAAAACCCAGATAGCGACGCATTAGCCTTGCGATGCGATCATGCATTTTTACGCTGAACTTGCGGCACACAGGTGATTAACAGCGTGGATGGGCAGCAGCGCTACAGATTAATACGTAGACTTATGTTGGCAGCATTAAAATTTAACCCTTTTTATGCGTTTTGTGCTGTGTAACAGCAGTACAAAACGCATGTTGTCACGGGGTTGTATGTGTGCGTGCCCGCAGCAACTTGTCCACAACTTTCAACTCAGGAACTACAAAAGCTAAAAGACTAAAAATTTAGGGGAATATTCCCACCCACGTGTGACCCCGCAAATTTAAATTCAGCTACCTCTACCCGTGGGTAAAACGTGCGGCCCCGTAGAAGTTTCAGCAGATGAAGTTATCACAGGAACCACAGAAGCTAAAAGGCTGAAATTTCGTGGGCATGTCCCCTGCCCACATGCGACCCAGAAAATTTAAAATCGGCCTTCCCCTGCCTGCGGATAACGTGTACGGCCCCGTAAAAAGTTTTGGCGGGGAATTATTATTTCGGGAACCACTGAATCTAGGAAGCTGAAATCTTGGGGTTATGACCCCTGCCCATGTACGACCTTGCAAATTCAATTTCGGCATTCCCGCTCTCGGGGTATCGCCTACGGCTCCTCAAAAATTTTGGCGGGTAAATTACTGTCCCGGGAACCACAAGATCTGAGAAGCCGAGGTTTTAGGGTAATGACCCCCTGTCCACATACGATCTTGCAAGTTCAGATTCAGCGTTCCCGCGCGCCCAGGTAACACATACGGCCCTGTGAAAGTTTCGGCGGGGAAAATTATTTCAGAAACCTCGAAAGCTGGGAACCTGAAATTTTACGACAGTTTCCCTTATCAACGCGCGACCCTCGCAAATTCGGATTCAGCCTTCATGCACCCCTGAGTACCACGTACGGCCTCGTGAAAGTTTTGGTAGGAGAATTATTACCTCATGAACTGCGAAAGCTAGAAAGCTGAAATTTTAGCGTGGTATCCCCTGCTCACCCACAACTCCGCAAACTTTCAACGTCCTCGTGGGAAGTTTCGGCGAGAAAAATCATTGTCTTAGGAACTAGAAGAATTAATGGGGCTGAAAATTTGGGAGAATGTTTCCTGCCTAAACAGGGGCTTAACAAACTCGAATTCAGTTCCTAATTATGCCGAGGTTTCAAGTAGGATCACGTGAAAATTTTGTCTCAAAGATCACTCAAAAGTCAGAAAATTAGGAGATTGGAATTTTGGAAGAATATTCACCCTTCGAGGTTTCAAATCCCGCTTC